CTGATTCATTTAACCATTTCTCTTCTGAGTACTTAATTGTTATCCAAACACAGTTAAAGCAACGTTCTGGATTCAATAAACAATAATGTCAAGCTCTATCAACAGCATAATACCAAGACCAGCAGAAAAAAGAAGAAAGTAAAACGTTTTTTTTTTTTTCATGTTGGCTTTGAGTCAACAACATGATGCATCTATTAATTAATTCAATTAATGAATTAGTTCTAAAATACATTAAAGATACAATTCATGCAAGTGATTTGAATACATCTCTTCTCTTATAGACAGGATGCCTTCAGATCCTCATGACTGTGTGTCAGGGTCAATAAGTCTCTTAAAATATCAGATAAATTGACATGACAAGGCTATTTGTTAGTAAATTATTATGAGATGGGACCAAATCCATTTTTAATGATATAAAATCTCTATTTCTGAAATAATAATGCATATTATTGGTAAAAATCTAAATATAGAAATATAAAATATATTTAAATGTTTTAAAGATGTGCACACTCCTGTATTCAGTGTGTAAGGAAAATACACAGTTAAAAAATGTTTTTTTGGGGGGCAGACTGCATTTATTTGATCAAGTAATTTTGTAAAATATGATTACAGTTTAAAGTTTACTTTTTTCCATATGAATATGTTTTAAAATGTAATTTATTCCTGTGAAGCAAAGATACATTTTCAGCATCATGACTTCAGTCTTCAGTGTCACATGATCCTTCGGAAATCATTCTAAATGCTGATTTACTGCTCAAGACACATTTCTCATTATTGTCAATGCTGACAACACTTGTCATGCTTAATGTTTTTGTGGAAACTAATATTTTGTTTCAGAATTGTTCTTTTCAGAATCTTTGATGAACAGCATATATTTGAATTATAAACCTTAAAGTGTACTGTGAATCACTGTGAATTTTGATCAGTTTAAAACATTTTTGTTTGCTGAATAAAATTAATAATTTGAATTAATTTCTTTCCATTTTTCTTTCTTTAAAATAGTATAAAAAAATTCCATAACCATGGCACCATAAATACAAAGAGTAAATGTCTAAGAACTAGAATATTCCTTTTCTTTATCATAGACACTTTGACTTTTGCATTTAACCCACAAAATTCCTTTAACTTCCTCTAAACATTCACAGCTTCTCTAATGGCATCCACTATGAATAGTCAATGGTATGATTCATACATATCTTACAGTAATTCTGAGGTATTCCAAGCAATTTTAACTTATAGATCAAAGTCCAGTGTCCTATCCGACCGGAAGCTTACACACTGAGTTTCCAGACATAAATGCGTAACTGTATGTGTCATCTGAGTGTTCATTTAGGTCTGATTTTCATTGCGTCCAACTGAGAGATTACCCTCAGTTTGGAGATACAGTACATGAGAAATCTGATCCCGTAGGTTTTATATTTGTTTTGGCAGGCGGCACGATTTGCACAACAGCAGAAAGCGAAGCAAAGTACAGTCCCAGAGGCTTATTCAAACATTCAGAGAGATGTTTCACACATTAGCCATTGTGGAACATTTTTTTTTACAGAGTTGGACTACCCATTATTATAGGGGTTAATATTATTTGTAAAGGCTACAGTGAAAAATAAAACAAATGTTGGGATTTATCTTTTTATTGCTTTTTATTCTATAAGTTGTATGTCAGTGTAAAGTTTTCTTCAGCATTGTTTAGTACAAGCTGTGGGTGAAATGGGTGACTTAGACTTCCATAAAAGGGCAAATCATGGAAGACCATTTAGCAGGAGCTAAATGTAACGCTAACAGCCCAATTATTTGGTGTTTACAGTCTTTAAACTGCTTACACAAAGCATGGCAAGACTTAATCAGCAAAGACAAATAATGGGCAAAAACTGAAAGGCACCATCAAACAATAAGAAGCACTGTGTCCAAACAACACAGAACTCCTGCAGCAACGTGACAGCAAACCTTGATATTCACCTGTTTGACGCCAATGCTAAAATGTGAACAAAATGGAGTCATAATCATAAAACCTGGACAGCTGGAGCACCAAGATGAACTTCAACATCTAGCAGCTCAATCACCTGATTTTATTATCAAATATTATTCACTGTAAACAGTTTTGGAGAGAAGAGAAGCAGATCGCCTGCTTCAACAACTTCAAGATGTTTTGATAGCGAACATTCCACTGAGACTACTCAAAGTTCTGTTCAAAGTTCAAAGGTAGAAAGCTGTATTATTGCAAATGCTGGTGAAACACTCTAACAAAGAAAAAGTTGTTCACGTTCTTTTGTCCAAGTCCTATATCTTAAACCTCTTTAGACTTCAAAGGGTGAGTCACAAAACTTTTATTGATTTAAAGCCTTTTATATGCAGTGGACTGATAACAGCTTTCTTTGTAAAAAGCAGTGGTGACATAATTTAATGGCATTAAATTACTGCTCTGGTGGGTGCTGAATAAAAAACACCTGGATAATTATGTTGTTCTGCAAAAGCCAGCATGTGAACTTTACACTCTACATTTTTATTTAATTATTTATTTTTCCCCATTGAGATTTTATACCTTCGCTCACTCCTAATTTTCAATGGCCGTTTTCTTTAGCTGCTGTGCCTTTAAGGCTCCAATTAATTCAATAGTCCATTCCATTTAATATATGTGGCTCTGCTTATTACAGGCCATTACTGCAGTCCATTTGGAAAGAACAACCAAAAAAATTCCTAGAACAAAAGCTCGAATTGCACACCATCTATCGAAATAGCATACCTGACATATAGCACTCTAGAAAAACACTGAATGATGTCAGGCAAACACAAGACCAATATCTGCCCTCTCCACGGTTCTTCTGCCTGTTTTCATTGTCATTGGCATTCATGCCATATTGAGACATACAGAGGAATAATTGTGAGCCCCTCCTCTACGGTTTTTACAAATAAACCCTGCTTGCATCTAGCAAATGGCTGTTGTCTTCCTGCCCAGGAGAGTCTTAAAATGAACCTCTATTCCTCTTCTCACTTAATACAATTTCAGTATGATTGATGAAGGAACCAATAAGCGCATAAAATCCTTTCTGATCAGATCTGTATTGCTGTTGATCCTCACTGTGTATTGTGTTAGATTGCACCTCTGATTGCTTTGGTATAAAAAGCCAATGTAAAATTACCAAAAAGGAAGGAAAATACAGGAAACCCATTAGTAGCTCAGTGTTATCTTGGTGCATCACCTTAATTTAAAATATATATATATTTATATCTATCTCTCTCTCTCTCTCTCTCTCTCTCTATATATATATATATATATACTGTATATATACGTAGAGCAAATATATTTGCTAATATATATGTTTTAAAATATATGTATGTAAATATATTTTCAGCCAATATAATTTTTGGCCATTTTTTTATATTTTTGAAAATATATTTAAATATATATAATTATATTTAAAAATATGTTTTGCCCTTCATATATTCTGAACATATAACAGATTTAAATAAAAATCAGCAAGGACCATACTTTCAATGTAAAAACATACATAAATATACTACATATAAATATACTGTATATAAATATTAAAATCTAGTTTTGCTGAAGGCAACCCTGCTTAGCATGACTGCTCAAAGAGGAATCTGGCTCGAAACGTCTCATTTTCGGTGGTCACAATAAGAACGGCAGCACACACCGGGCTGTTTGTCTGTGATAGAGGCTTTTCAGAAGGGGTTTATTGTAAGACCCCCCGCGTGGGCACCAGCCAGAAGCTCCAGCCATCCATGAAACGTGATTGGCTCATATAATCAATTCTACTCAACATTCATGAAATCTAGAAGCGTGTGCCAGTGATAGACATCATTCTAGCTTTCTTTTTCTTTTTTGTAGAACTGATGGAAGGAGAAAAGGCATGAGGAATGGCTGGTATTTTCATGCCCTTTATACAGAACACACACAACCAGGAATTTGCTGACTGATTTTTCTCTATGCCATCAGAATCAATATTACTTAACTTTTATATCCATATTTAAAAACTGCTGAGACAGCTTCCTCATAGCTGTCACCATATTTTTCTTCAAAATAAAGCTGAAAGAGAACCAATTCTTCTGTTTCTATTGTGCAAGCCTTCACCAGAAGTATTATTAGCCTAAAAAGCATTCAAGCAGAAGTGTTGTGCCTTTTCAAACTGACACGTGTGGCACAGATTTTTAAGTCACAAATTTTTAACCTCAAAAAAGAAAAATACGCATGCTTAAATTTTAAGAAAAGAATGAATACTTTAGTCAAGAACGTGTGATATCATAAATCACCCACTCACATGCATAAATATTGCCAGTATTTAAGTTCTAAAAACTAAAAAGTACCATCTTTGTGCATTTTACAAGAAAATACTATTTTGATTTTTATACTTAAAAATGTCATACTTTTTATATACTTCATTCATTTAATTGTGTTACTTGCTGTTTCTTAGTATTTTTTTTGTGTGAAATTTACAAGTAATTTATGAGTAAGGGTTCTTTATACACTATAAATACATCTATCTATTAATCTATCTATACACTCTAAAAAATGCTGGGTTAAATACAACCAGCACTGGGTTGTATTTAACCCAGCATTTTTTAGAGTGTACTGCATCTATGCTGTAGATAGATAGATAGATAGATAGATAGATATTTGCTTGCATGCACTTTCTTGTAAAGCACCACATTAGCATGACTGCCTCCGCTGGCACTTCGAAAAAAAACATAACACTTCATATTAGAAAGACATTTTGTTGCATAGGAACATTTTCGGCATATACATTTAGCATCCAGCATCTTATTTAGCAACTTATCTGAGACGCAGCCTTTATAAATTGAAATATAACAGATGTGAATAACAACTTGAGTGATGAGCTGCAATCATTATTGAGATGCTGTTGCTCTCGTAGCATCTGATTGGTGAAACTTTCGTCGGACGCGCTGGCGTGCGCGAGGAGCCTGTCTGTGGAGCCGATGTGCGCGTTATTGCGCTGTTTCAAAGTTAAGGTGACCGACCGTCAGACCTCCCAGGATTTATCGACATCGACAGACACATGCACGGGCTTAATTCTGAACCATATGAGAGCCGTCTTGATTGACTCTGGCGCACAGATGTTGAGTCACGCGCAGATCGCTTCTGATGAACTGGACTGCATGTAATGTGCGGGAAATGTGATCGTGGACGGTCTGAAGTGACTCACACTAGTTCACTGTGGAGCTGGACTGCACACCCGGACATGATTATGAGGATGATCGTGGTGCCGCGGACGCATTTCGGAGAGGAAACGCAACTTATTTTTTCATCCTGCGCCATGTAACTTTGGCACCGACATGTACACCAGAATAAAGCGACAGTTTGGAGTCGTTTGACGTACCGGCAGTCTTTTCATTAAAAAAATCTGGGGAATCTTTTATCCTGTTCAACGTAAGCACGTGCACTCCTCGCAAGGATGCCTGGTGTCCTGGGTCTGTACATTGGGATGGAGGTGCTCCTCGCCCTTTCCTCTGTCATTGGGAATGTGATGGTGGTCTGGGCTGTGAGAATCAACCGATCTCTACGAGACACGACCATTTATTTCATCGTCAGTCTGGCTCTGGCGGACATTGCTGTCGGGGCACTTGTCATTCCTCTGGCAATAACTATAAGCATCGGACTGAAGACTCATTTTTACAGCTGTCTGCTCGTTGTATGTACTGTCCTGGTGCTAACGCAAAGTTCAATTCTCGCCCTCCTGGCTATTGCTGTTGACCGCTATCTGAGGGTCAAGATACCAATGAGGTAATAAGATGTGGGTTGCTTGTTCATTTCACTGGGATTTTCATTTCATATTTCCAGTTCTGTTTTTTCTGAATACATGATGGTTTCCTGTCATCAGTGTGGAGGATGTATTGAAGTTGAGGTGACTTGCTTACCACAAGTCAGTCTTTAAGGGATATTTGACCCAAAATGAAATTAAAATGGTCATTTACTCACCCTTATGTGATATTTCAAACCCGTATGACTTCTGTTGTCATTCCGTGGAACACAAAGGAGAATTTTTAAAGAATAGTAATGCAATTAAAATTTAACTTTGCCATGTCAAGCCTAAAAAAGAACCCAAATCGCAACAAAAGTGGCATAACATTTATTTATGCACCATATTTTAATCTTCTCGAGTCAGGCCGGTTTTGTGAATTGGATCTACCGAATCGTTAGAAAGATATAAAGTTATACTCTTACTTTTCATATATGGTAGAAGACTAAAATGTAGTATACGTTTCCGAATTCAGTAAATGTTTTGTTCATAAATTACAAATTGTTTTGAACTCTCATGAACATGCCAATGAGATGTAAAGAAAGGACTGTGTAGGCTACATAGCTATGACTTCAAGAAACCTTCAAATATAGAACACATTAACCACATTTATTATGCTTTGTTTCTTTTAACGCTGACATGTTCAGTTGCAATTCATTGTCATTACATTCAAGTGTTTCGTTTCATGAAAGAAAGAAAGTCATGCTGGTTGAAACAACACGAGTTTTAGTTCATTTTTGGATGAACTATCCGTTTATAGCAGATTTAGGCCTACTCAAAACAGAAAACAACCATGCATATTCTTTAATTAGCATGGATTCATACTTCTCACATGAAAAACGTAATTTAGAGACTGAGAAACAATGTGACGATGAGAAATACTAAGGTAGCACCTTTGCTTTCAGACCATGCAGTGATGTTTGACCTGGGTGGGTTTGCCGTGGGCTGCAGTGTTTCTCAATTTATTGCGGTGTTATGGAATCCACTTTCAAAGTTACCTTCAAACCATGACTCTCTCACAGTTTTTAATTTCCTGTCCTGTCCATGGCCTCCCTTTGAATGTGAAGTTGGAGTTACAGAGTTAATACATTATATGAATCAAAACAATTAGGCAGAAAGACCCTTTTGCAGCATTAGCTACTTCTGATTGTGTAGAAGAACAGCTAGAATGACATGCTTTTCCTTAATTTTAATGATTAAATAGGATTATAACATACAAGTCTGAGGTAATTACACTGGACAAGTGCATAAGTGCACAAGTTTGTCAAACAAGCAACTAGTGCCAATTTGCCAGCTGAGTGGATGGCGTGCTTCACTAGCTTCATTTGTGTTGTCTGAAAAGACCTTCTACTCTTCACAGAGAAGGGATTGTGACTTAACCAAAATGGTAATAATGCTTCTCAGCAGAGTTTGTGTAGTGGCTCAGCTCAGCACTTTTTAATTTAGATTTCCATGTTTATAACAGGGATTTCAATTATTTCTTCCAGATAAATTGTACTTCCAAAACAGATTTTGAAGAAATTTCACTAATGTTTGTACTTCCTCGGAAATAGGCCTAATCTTAGTCATTTTCATGGTTCAGCATCCTTTACAAAGCTTCCTCTTTACTCTCAGTGTTGTAGAGTGTAACAGGGTGTTACAATTCCATTCATGTTCTCCATAAGGGAACTGATTTTGAACAGACCCAATGTGAACTACAAGGTTGGTGGTTTTGTTGAAGCCATCAGCCTGCATAATTTTGGCTTTTTTTAATATGTTTTTTTAAATGATCATGTTCACCAGCCGAATTCCTGGTGAAAAATTACATTACCCATGATCCTTCAAAAAAATCTCCACCAATCAGAGAATCTAAACAAGCAAATTGTGCAAAAAGAGCAATCTCACTATATGAAGTATAGTGTGAATTGTGTCAGTTTATGAAAACTATTCTCTCAAATTATTTAAATATTTGCATGCATAATATTATGCAATAAATTAAAGCCGTTAAGTACACAGTCTTGTACCTTCATCTTTTTGTCCAGTTTTCAAATACTTTTTCGCTTCAAATTAAAGTTAGTAATGTCATTCACCTCGTAGCTGGTTGGTTTAGTTCATCGATCATAACTCTTAGGCCTTTTTTAAAATCCCTATGGGAAAAAGTAGACGGGCACTATTGCCATTGTCTCTGAGTTGTTTAAAATTTCGTTTTTTTCCCACAGCTATAAAAGAGTGGTGACTCCAAAGCGTGCTGGCACAGCAGTGATGGCATGCTGGATGGTGGCCATCGTAGTCGGCCTGACGCCCATGTTGGGCTGGAACAATCTGGAGAAGCTACGCCAGACCAACGGCACCTTGGGTGCTGACCTTCTCGTAACCTGTGAATTCGAGAACGTCATCAGTATGGAGTACATGGTCTACTTCAACTTTTTCGGATGGGTGCTGCCACCGCTCGTCCTCATGTTGCTCATCTACGCTGAGATCTTCTACATGATCCACAAGCAGCTCAACAAGAAGGTCACCGTCAACCAGACCGACCCCACTCGATATTACGGGAAAGAACTCAAGCTGGCCAAATCTCTCGCGCTGGTGCTCTTCTTGTTTGCAGTCAGCTGGTTGCCGTTGCATATTCTGAATTGCATCACTCTCTTCTGCCCTAGTTGTGACAATTCAATGTGCCTTCTTTACGTGGCTATCTTGCTCAGTCATGGCAACTCCGCCGTCAATCCCATCGTTTATGCATTCCGCATTAAGAAATTCCGGAATGCTTTTGTTAAGATCTGGAAACAGTATGTGTGTTGCACGGAGAATCCACGTCTGGGTGATCGCCCCAGCTTTCGCATAGATAGCAAAGAGAGAAGACTGCGGGACAATGACATCTGACACTTCGCTAACCAGGTCTCCTCCATGAGAAGCACTTTTTCAAGTATGACAGTATAGATGAGTCTACAGGGAAAATGCAGTCTGGGATGTATGCTGTCAGTGGTGAGAATACGTTTGCCACAGAAATGGAGACGATCGAACATTACTGGCAATGTTTCCTTGAAAACCCAGTCAATGATGCATAGAATGAATTGCATCGGTAGTGAGGGACCATTAAATAAATGAAAATGGCCTGTTTTATCGGAATTCCCACACAGTACAACTGGCATTCACATCTGTGAATCTTTATTCGATTATGATTTCCTATTCTGCTGTGGTTCATTCGAATGTGGCTATCACATAAAGGGCTTCATATAATGAATGCAAAACTGCAGACTCGTAAATGTCAGCGCTTATGAGTACACTAAACTACACTCGTCTTTAGTCAGGAGCATAAACGAATTTGAGGACTTTGAAAAAAGGACATTGAGAATGTGATCTGAGGTCATTTTTATATGCCAGAGAATTCATGTTTTGAGAAGTATGGGATATGGAGTTATTTGTCATTTGCTGCTTTTTATGACTAGCGCAAATAGTAGGCAGCTAGGCCCACTTTGCCTTAAATGGATAGTTTATAAAAACTGAAAATTCTGTCATCATTTACACACCCTCATCATGTCATATGAGAATTCAGAGTTGTTTTGGACCCCATTGACTTTCATTCAAAACTGCTAAAACATTCATTAAAATGGCTTTGTTTAGCAAAAGAAAATCATGCATGTTTGATTAAAAGATGACAAAACTTTCATTTTTGGGTGAACTATCACTTTAGGCAGAAATTTGCATGATCCTATTAGTCCAGTATCAGCAATGTTGCTTTTGCCGTGTTATGACACTTTTTTGTTATATTGTTTTTGTCTAAATGAAATAGTTTGCCTTATTAATACTCATCTCTACTGTGTGTTTAACAGAATAACCACTGAAAATTGACGATGCGTTCTCATATTTGTTTTGGTGAGAAAATCATGTTTGCGTGAGGAAATAAGAAATGCAGCCTCCGATTTCACTGCATGATGTTGAAATGAAACAAAACTGTAGGCGGTTAGCATTTAATATTTAGATTGCTCAAAACTGGGGGCCTGAGAAAAGATAGACAGGAAGGAACCATGAATAAATCTAGATTGAATGATACTGCTAGAGGTCTTGTGTGTGTGTGTGTGTGTGTGTGTGTGTGTGTGTGTGAGTGTGTGTGTGTCTGTTTTTTTTTTGTTTGTTTATTATTGACATGCGTTGTTAAAATAATTTATGCATAACCTGTGAGGACAATCGCAGTTGGATCTCTTAAATGTTCAGGCCTCTAATAAGGCAAGGAAACATTCCGTGCTTTCATTGAAATTGCTCATTTCTCCAGGTGTATTAGAAGAACTGAAGAATTGCTGAAATTTTGATGTCCTCTGAACGGACCCTGATTTTGACTCTGCATCCTTGAAACAGGTGGCAGTGAGTGAAGTGTCCTTTGAACAAGCTCTGATAAATGGTTTGACCTTTTCAGGCCGGTCAATCAATTCAATACAGTTTCCTGAGAAACAACTATCTCAAACTTCCTGGGTAGACCTCTTAAAGGTAAGATCAAAGCTGACGCGGTGACTTGTGTTTCCGCTTCTACAATGGTATTCAGCCAACCTCCATTTCTCCTTTACTGGGTGCCAACTGGAGAATTTAACTAGTTTAAGTTCAAGGGCATAAACACTCTAGATTAATTTTTTTTATGTCTACAGTGCCTTGCGAAAGTATTCATACCCCTTCATTTTTTTTTTTTTTTTACATTTTATGTTGCCGCCTTATGATAAACTTCTTTAAATTACTTTTTTTCCACATCAATCCATCCACCATACTGACAAAGCAAAAACAGAATTGTCACAACTTTTTAAATGCATTAAAAATAAAATACTGAAATAAGTACATTGCATAAGCTCAACTAGAGTGACCAACTGGTTTTTGGTCACCACTCTAACCAAAGCCCTTCTCCATCAATTGCTCAGTTTGGCCAGGAGGCCAGCTCCAGGAAGAGTCCTGGTTGTTTCAAACTTCTTCCATTAAGGGTAACAGAGACTACATGCTTATGTGAACCTTCCAACGAAGCAGAATTTTTCCCCAGATGTGTGACTTGACGCAAACCTGTTTCTGAGCTCTACAGGCAGTTCTTTTGACCTCAGGGCTTGGTTTTTGCTCTGATGTGCATTATCAGCTGTTAGACCTTTTATTAAAACGTGTGCCTTTCTAAATCATACCCATTCAATTGAATTTGCCAGAGGTTAACTCCACTCGAAGTGTAGTAATATCTACAAGCAAAATGAATGCTCCTGAGCTAAATTTCAACTGTCCCAGATAAGGGTATGAATACTTATGCAATGGAATAATTTTAGTTTTTTATTTTTAATAAATTTGCAAATATGTTAAAACCCTGATTTTTTTGCTTGACAATTATGGTGTACTGAGTGTAGATTGTTGTGGAAAAAAACTAATTTAAAGCAGTTTAACATAAGGCAGCAACAAAACAAAATGTGAAAAAAATGAAGGGGTATGAATACATTCGCAAGGCACTGTAGTTCAAATGACTCACAAGCTGCAATTACCTACATAGATCAGTTGAGTGTCTTAATCTAATACCTTTTATAAAAACTGCAGCTTTAACCTACCCGTGATAGCATGATATGAGGAATGAACAAAGTGTTAATAGAGTGTTATCAGATAAGGATATTATCACAGCTCATGGTGGCCACTTCCTCTATGTGTGATTTTGTTTACTGACAACAAAGCCTAAAGAAGCAATGGTTTTATTTGGCCTAAATAATACAGTACTGTTACTCAGTACTGTGGTGCCCCCCTGTGATGGTTTAAAATAAATGCTAAAGGGCTCATTACTAAAAGTAAGGCATATCAAATAATTTTTATTTAAAGGGTTAGAACGTAAACAGCGTATGATATTCTGTGTCAGCTGCGTCACGCGGATACGTTTTCCACGTTGTTTACACTTTGATTTGAACGAAAACAACGTATCCACATCAAAAATATATTAATTTGTGTTCCGAAGATGAACGGAGGTCTTACGGGTTTAGAACGACATGAGGGTGAGTAATTAATGACAGAATTTTCATTTTTGAGTGAACTATCCCTTTAAGTAAAAAAATAAGCACGCTTATATTGCATTAATTTTAAAGTGGCCCAGTTATTATTGGTGAGTAACGATGTTATTTCCTTATTACTAGGTTGCAATAAAACCATAAACCACAAAAATATATGTCTCAACATGTCCACTTCATGTTTATTTGATCTCTAGTGAAGGAAGTCTTAACATTTCAACATTTCACTAATGTTTACTACAACATGCATGTCCCAATTAGACCAACACATTTGTTCAAAGTGCTTAATTTTAAAGGATTTAAAGGGGTCATATGACGTTGCTAAAAAGAACATTATGTTGTGTATTTGGTGTAATGCAATGTGTTTATGCGGTTTAAGGTAAAAAAAACACATTATTTTCCACATACTGTACATTATTGTTTCTCCTCTATGCCCCGCCTTTCTGAAACACGTCGATTTTTACAAAGCTCATCAGTCTGAAAAGCGAGGTGTGCTCTGATTGGCCAGCTATCCAGTGCATTGTGATTGGCTGAATACCTCAAGCGTGTGACGGAAATGTTACGCCCCTTACCATACTATGATGCTCTACTCTACACTGCTTAAAACTCGCGTTTGAATCATCAGTGGCAAATTCATTAAATATAAAAAACGTACTTACAGTCGATAATTCAGAAGCGCCAGACTGCCCTTGCAAAGTTGGAACTGCCCCATTTTATAGAACAGCCTTTGAGCACAGACGCATTGTAGGTTACTCTGCAGGTTCAGGGAACAGTCCTCCATAAAATGCGCTGCACACATCTGAATAATTTGGGTTGAACTGTTCTGGAACAGTGTTGTAAATACAACTTAACCACTGATTTCTAGTTGTGTCCTCTTTTGGAAGGCCAGGGCGTGTTTAAACGAGGCGTTTTAGGAGGGCGTGGACAAGTCTTAACTTTTATAAAGAATATCTCTTTGGAATTGAGACTTTAGTCCTTGCAACTTTACAGATCTTCTTTATGCACCAAGAGCTTGTAACACTCCAAAGAGAAAGGAAAAATTTAAATCGCATCATATGACCCCTTTAAAATAACATTATACAGTAGTTTTACTCCACATCAGTGATGTAAAGAAATTTGACTACATCATAAGACACAAGTCTATTATTTAAAAAAAGCAATGTTGGTTGAGAATTCCTGCATCAGTTGAAATACTCAAACACAAATATCTGTATTAGAGTAAAAATGTAAACATTAAAAAACTTTGCTGGTTGTGATTGTCTGAAAACAGCACCTTGGCATCTGAATGACATTTACAGATCATCCTGCATTACAAATCAAAACTTCAGAGGAATGATTGAGGGTCTCTCAGAGAATGAGACAATGAGCTCTCAATACATGCTGTTCTTAGAGACAGAGACCTTGAAAAAAAAAGAAAAAACAACATTAGACAGTTTGCGTGTTTAACAATAGCAAAGTAAGTCTTCAACATCTGGGGAAAATGAGTCATGATGGTTATATTAGAAATATAAACTGATT